TCAAGTTGCTGATGATGAATTCAAACGAAATAGCAAAGTCTAAAATGGCGAATCCAATACGGCGACTTCTAGTGACATTAAGGATATTCCATTATGAATACTTTTACTTCCATTGTTAACAGGTAAAATATGTTGGAAGACACTACTTTTTTGCCGAATGGCTCTGGCGAAATCCTTGGATTTATGACAGTCGTTATTTGTGACCAAAAAAACTTACAAAATTTGACACATATCCATAATAGAATATATCAAAGTTGGTCACTTCGAGCCGACATATTGGATTCGTCAATTTGGAATTTTGAAATTTCGATCCTGGATTCATCACCAGCGACCCGAAAAAATCCTTATAGATAAGCATCTGTGTAAAATACGAAATTATCGGTTTTGGCACAAGACGTTGATTTCGGGTCCACCAGTGAATCGCTCAATATTGTCAGAGTTATGAACAATTATTAATTTAATTTATTATATAATACACTAGGTTATTACATTAAGGTTCTGATATGGATTCAAACATTATAACATTACAAAAATCTTTCTTCCTAAATTATCATCAGGACATTATAAGATCTGACTTAATTAAGATTACCTTTCACTCACCCTATTAGGTCCTTGTCAATATCAAACATATCTGATTAAAATTTCTAGTCGGGATCTTCGTTGAAAATAATTCATCGCTCTTTGTAACTCACTCGTTGAAACTATTTGACATGCTTCACATATTCGTTGCATCATATTTTCCCTGATTGTTGAAAGATTAAAATAAACGATTAATCGGATTCTATCCCAAAGGGTTCTATCCAAAGGATTCTATCCCAAAAATAATAATCTAGGCAGGTCAAATCAGGTGATCTGGGTTTGGTTATTTTTCTTTTTTTCTAAGTCTTTCTCCATTATTTAATCTTTAATGACTCTGGCTATGTCATTGAATTCGTCATAATAAGGGTTGCAAACATAGGCATTAAAAAAATTAGAATTCCATTAAAAAAATAACTTAACCTTTATTTTACCTTGGCGTTTCTACTCAAAATTAAATTTTTTTATCAAAATGTACCTGCTTTCGAAACAATACAACCTAAAAAAAACGGACCTCGAGATATCATTTAGTTTTCGAAATACCTGACATGTTACATTTGAAATATAATAATTCTGTGTATGTGTCCTTATAACTTCTCTTAAATCCCAGAATTCACATATCTCAGGATTCCATAGACTTATACCGCATGTATCTTACATACGCGAAGCTTCTCGGTAAGTTATCTTGTGGTAAAGCAACTAAAGTTTTTATTGAATTTTGCGATACCAAGAATCCAGGTCAGGAATAAGAAAGAAATGTGAAAATATCTGTAATTTTTGGGAATATCATTTTAGCATTTCACATTGCGCTACCAATCATTTTTAAAGACTGCCATTAGCCCTTCTCTTCCTAAAGTTTGTCAAGCATGAAAGTTTTGCGTCTCGTAACTTGGAAATGTTTTGCGTCGATATTATATAAATATTCCATCGATATCGGGAAGAAAAGATCCGATGTCTTCGAGCCTTATTAATAATATCGATAAGGACAATTCGAGCAACGCGGGTTTATCGCGTTAACGAAAGTAAGTAAAGCGGGTCGCGTCATATTGAAACGTGAAATATGCTAGAGGATCAGCGCGAGAGATGTGTTGACAAAGGTCCTTTTGGCGTGTACTGTACGTAATCAACTTTTTAATTCTTTTTATAACTCAGTGTTATTTCGCTAAGCCGCTTTCGCAAATACACGAAATCGTAAATCAGACAGATGTCCAAATTTTGCTTGTCTTGCTATATTTGCTGAACAGCAAAGCATATTTGTGTGTGTGTGTGTGTGTGTGTGTGTGTGTGTGTGTGTGCACGCGCGCGCGCGCGCGCATACGTGTATCAGGATTTTGCAGATTTTCCAATAGCAAATAATATTCGGCATGTCGCACAGGCTACTCGTTTATCCACGTAGACATAAACAACAAATAGCGTAGTCGCGAGTTGTAATGTAAATCGGACTGGATAAAGTATCGGTATTTGTCAAAGACTAATATTTATTGAAAGATCAGACTCTCGTGCGCGTGCGCGTTGCCGTTGCTGTTGCCGTCACCGCAGAGAATCGAACGTTATTGCGAAATATACCGTCGCGTTATTGTTTTCGATCATTTTACATCCTGCGAAGATACGCTGCATCCAGTCGGCGTCAGCGACTATCGCCATTACCCGCGATAAATCAAACGTGTGCAAAGTCACGGGAGAGAGCTTCGCCGATAGAAGAAATATTCAAAGATAATTGGAATATTCCTGCATCGAGTGAAATATTAGGAAGTTGAATTAATTCTGGTCTTATTTTGTCAACTTTTTATCTTTATTTTAAAGAAATGGTTAAATTTACATCAATTAAAATGTTTTCCGTCGTTAGCTGTGACTTTTCCCCACCTTTCTGGCAACACAGCGATCCCACGACGATAGAACGATTTGTCTTTCGAAGCGATCCAATCAGACATCCATTTTTGCACATCCTCGTAATTATTGAAGTGTGTATCTGTTAAAGCGTGTCGTATCGATCGGAATAGATGGTAATCAGATGGGGTTAGGCCTGCAGAGTACGCTGGATGCGGAAGGATTTCCCATTGGAGCTCTAATAATATTTGTTTAACGATTGAAGCAACATGTGGACGAGCATTATCGTGCAAAACAATCACTTTGCGTCTATTGCAAGGCTATCGTTGGCCTTTTCTGCATCAATTCATCATTCAATTTGACCAATTGTTGCTCAAGTATCGCTCCCCCATAACTGTTTCATTCGGTTTTAGAAGTTCATAGTACACCACACCTTCCATATTCCACCAAATACCAAGAGCATTGTTTTGTGACTGTGAATGTTCCGTTTTGTGTGGATGTTGATGGTTCAATCCATGATTCTTTTGCTTTGGATTATCAAAATAAATTCACTTTTCATCTCCAGTTACAATTCGCTACAAAAAACTCTTTTTTCTGCCTGGCAAGCAAAGACATGACGATATTCAAATGATTTGCAATGACACTTTTACTCAATTCATGTGGAATCTATTTGCCTTCCTTTTGAATTTTTTTCATAGCGTATAAGCGTTTAAAAATTATTGATTTATCGAGTTGAGTTGTTCAGCCAGTTGCTTTCCCGTTTGAGTGGTGTTTTCATTCAATAATGCTAACTCAGAATCTTCAAATGTTTTTGATTGACCAGTACGTTCTTTGTCACTCAAATCGAAATCATCACTTTTGAATCGTTGAAACCAAAATTTACAGTTGAAATACGATGGAGCTTGATCACCATAAGTTGTAACGAGCATTTCACGAACTTCAGTTGCCGATTTTTTCAAATCGAATAAAAAAGTAACGAATGTCGAAAATGCAATTTTGTATGATCTACTTTAGACGCGTATAAACAATGAAACTATCAGTAACAATAGCACACAAACTGTCATACATCATAGAGAAATGTCAAATCTTTCAGTGCTGCCAGATTTCAACATTCGTACTAACCAGTAACTTGTTACTAAAATCATCTATTGCTAGAAACCAGAACTAATTCAACCTCCTAATACATCGAGGAGAAATCACGCTTGCCGCCGATTAACCCTTTAACGCCCGACTTTTTTATAAGTGTTTTAAGAATAAAATTTGAGTTTTCTCGAACTGAGACTATAAATAGTGATAACCAAATAAAATATCAGAATTTTATATCTATGAAAAACTACCTTCTGAATAAATGAGTACATCGAAATTTCCGCTTTTCATTTGTTGGTTTCGTTAGTTTGGTTTTCTTATCGTTCGTGTTTTGTTTATTGGTAAATATGACTTAAATCCTAAAAGTATATACGAAATGAGCAACCTGTACAGAGAGAAATGAAGGGTAATCTATACGACATAACTCTGATAGTCAGCTTGACATTTTTGAGCTGAAACTTTACTATATTTGTGAATGAAGAATGAAGAATGAAGTTATCATTCAGAGCGTCAAGCTTACTATTTCAGAAGAATATCTTATACCATTTAGATAGTCAATCATCCCTTCATTTTTCGTCGCATAAAAAACTGTAGGTCACCAGGTTTCATGAAAATAGGTTGATTTCTTGATTTTCCTATCCACCATATTGGATTCGCCATTTCGAATTTCTGTATTCTTTTAATTTCATATTTTGCATCTGAGAAAGCTTCCAAATATATAACATTATAACAGATACCAATTTATTCATTTATAGTGCACTTCTAGATGTCAGTAACAATGCTAACCATGCCTACTTGGAATTTGACAAAACATGTTATCATTAAAACTGAGCTAAAAACAAACTAAACCGAATCTATATACAATCTATATACCATTTTTTAGAAAAAGAATTCACCTTTACAGTGGTGCAAAGAAAATGAAAATATCTCCTTTTTTGACTAAGTTATGGATTCTTAAATACGTTTCTAGTAACTATAGTCACCAGTAGGCATTAAAGGGTTAAGTTAAAGAAACGCCACCTTTCCGTTCTGCGAAGACGTAACGTCCCGATAAAAAGTAAATGTACTTGATTGTAGGAGGGAACGAAGAGCGAAGCGCGGTGGGAGCTGGCGGGAGAGGGCAGAGGGGGGTGAAGTTAATATCAGAATAACAGCGAGAGAAAAATTAATTATCGAGGTAACGCGGCAGCTGAGTTAAGAGTCCAATCGATATAATTGCACGACGCGAATTTATATTATTTTCTACACGAGAAGAAGATTCTTTATTTCCAATTTCGACGAGATTTCTTCAGTTAAACGAGTACACGTTTTACGTAGGTACACACGAACAAGCGAACTTATTATCCACCTGAAATTGTTGTTGAGAAACAATTAATCCACCTTGTCGAAGTGAATGGCCGACGGCTTGCAAGACGTCGAGATCGCTCGCTCGCTTATTTATGAAATTAAACGGAAGGTTCATTCGGATTTTGCCAATAGTGATGTCGGAAGTTAATGCTAGAGATATTGTCATTTCTAACCGATAAATTTTCCATAATTTTCTGAAACGTCCGACACGTTGAAGGAAGGCTAAGAGGCTCTTCGCGCAAAGATTCGTTGAATGACGCAGTATCAGTTTAAAAGTGAAGAATCTGAAAGTACATTTTCGCCATCTTATGCATTTTTGTTATCGCAAAGATAAAGACATAACGCAAATTTTACGACGGGAGATTTATGCGGTATACGGAGACAATATTGGGAATGAGCAAACATGTCAGAAGTGGTTTGTCAAGTATCGGGCGAGAGATTTCTCTTTGGAAAACATTCCACGTTCAGAGAGGCCTTTCTCCGCTGATGACGAGATCAAACCGATATCTTAAATTAAAATAAACAGCGCAAGGAATCGCCGCGATTCTCCAAAACATTAACTGTGCAACTCATTTAAAGAAACTTGAATACATTAATTGAGATGTGTGGGCGCTTCATAAATTGAGAAAAATCGCTTAAATCGCGTCTTCACTTGCGGCTTGATCTACGACGTAACGAAGATGAGCCATTTTTAAACGTGACGGGCGAAAAATGGATCGTTTGTAAGAAGACTGTGAGAAAAAATCCTGGAGTAAGAGAAACGAGCCTCCATTAGCGCAAACCAAAGCTGGCTTTCGTCCAAAGAAAGTCGCGCTCTGTGTTTGATGGGCTTGGAAGCGAATAGCATACTTCAAGTTTTCAGCAAACAATGAAACTATCGATTTTCATAAACGTTGCCTGCAATTAGGCCAACTGAAAGTAGTGATTGACGAGAAACGCTTGATTCCCAATTGGTGAATCATAAAGGCGCTGTTTTTCGCCATGACAACGCTAGACCACACGTGTGTTTGATGACCGAGAAAGGACTGTTAGTCTTGAGTGGGGGGGGGGGGATATCTTACTTCACCCGCCATGTTTTCCTGACACTGCATTTCCGGATTATGCCTGACACCTGTTCCCTTCGCTTCAAAACAGCTTGAGCAAATTCTGGTGGCCGTCAAAATCCTTCCGGATAACTTCTCTAATGAAAACTCGACTCAATTTTAAAATCACGGGGCTATTTGGATAATAGTTTCATATTATTCAAAACAGTCACGCAGACATTAAAATTACACCCTTAATATGTAGTCGAACTTTAATTGCCGCAAAAGAACCCGAACAAAACACATCTCCCTCGCTTGTTCGTGTTCACTCTGCTCGCATTCATCGCTCTTGATCCCGCAAGACGACCCGCTGGATCTATACACGCGCCTTCATGTACGTATTACACCCAGAATAACCTCGTGTTGACAGAGAGAGAAAGAGGGAATTAATCGTGAGGACGGTCGGGATAGGCAAGAATTTACTGAAGCAAATCCTCCGTGGCGAGCACAACAGAGGCCGAGGCGGGCACAATGACGCGAGTCGTGTCGACGCGCCATCCCGCGAGCAGCTTGGAGTGCACGCTGGACGCATAGACGATCAGCTGCTCGGGAATATTCATCCAGGTCCTGGCGTCGACGGTGAGCGGAGTGTCGGCGAAGTTAACCATGAGCGCCACGGTGGACGCGCCGTGTCGTCGCACCACCCCGAGGATCCTCTCGGTCACCAGAACGATCTGGAGCGTGCCCCGCTCGATGACGGGCTTCCTCTTCAGCCACGCCAGGGACTTGAATACTTTGTAATGCGACACGACCGCGGTCTTCTGCGCCGCCAGATTCAGGCTCTTGTAATTATCGTGGACCGGAAGCCAGGTCTTGCTGCTGCTGGAGAAACCGGCGCTCGTACTGTTGTCCCACTGGAAGGGCGTTCTCTCCGGGTCCCGTGATTTCAGATGATACCTGAAAAGGCGGTGATACTCGAGTTTAGTTGGGCGACTTGGAGACGCATTCGGAGATAGTTGAACTTTCGAAGTGCTCGAAAATCCTTCGCCCTTGGGTTGTTGGCTTCCCGAAGAAGCAAGGTGAAGCAGTCGATAAGAGTAACGGGGAATTCTTTTCGCAGTCCTATTTCTACGCGTTCACCGAATTTTTCGGATCTGAACATAAAATTATGCAACACCAAATTTGAAAGGTTTTGCAACATTTAACATGTGATCCCATTCGATAATCGGCGAAAGAAAATAGCTCGCTTTGCGTAAAAAGAAAAATCCGACGATCAAAATTATTAGTTAACCCTTTGAGTCATACATTTTATTTCCCGGTGGAATGTTTTGAAATGTGATATCTAAGTATCCTCGAGGTCACTGACTACGAATCTGAAGTCAGAATGTTTTAATTTAAAATCGCCGATCCAATATGGCGGACCAATTGTTCAAAAACTTTGGTTTTTCGATAGAATCTATTCGTGTTTCATGTTTAAGTTTTTTTCTGGGTTGCTGAGTACAAAAAGTCGACATTCAAAATGGCGAATTAGAAGATAATAATAACGACCTTAAACTTTTTCAAAATTAGTAATCTTGTCTTTTTTGCGATAGCCAGAAATAACGATAATAACGAAGCGAGTAACTATCTCCATGTTTTTGTTTATTTTTAGTTTTCTTTTTTTTATTTTTATTTGATAAAAAATTAAAATAAAAATAATGTCAGAATCTCAACAATGTATTATAAAAAATGGAGCCTATGAAAAATTGTTTTAAAAATGTGTAAAATACGAAAAATAATATGCTAATTCTCTCTCCTAATGGTTTGTTCACAAATGAATTTTTCTAGAAAGAAAATTCCTCTTTTCATTTTCACTTGTTTCTAGCAAGTTAACAATTAAACATATTTAAGCTATATGCTATTTATTTTTACTTCCTTATGTGCTTCTCAGAGTATATAATAATAATATAGTCGACTATGACTGCTTGAAAGTTAGTTAAATCACAAAATTAGCTTAGTTAGTTAGTTAGTTAAAGTTAATTAGTTAGTTAATTAAAAATCACAGAAATGAAGAAAATTTCTGTGAGATAACGTGTGTTCCGTTTAAAGGCTCAAAGAGTTAATAGAGATTCCTAGAGAGAAATCCCCAAGGAGGATATATGTGTGCAAATATTAGGTAAGGTAGAAAGTTCACGCCGTTTCTGGGTTTCATCATTGTCAAACTACGCATGCGCACACTGTCAATTAAAAGTGTGAGTATGCTTAAACAAAAGTTTATTTAACAGAGAATCCACTGGTGTATAACACTTACGAGAATTAATTATTGCGGAAATTTATTATTCATCTCTATTGATTAAAACAGCGCGACCTTTCTTGGTGACCTAATAATACAGAGTGTCCGGGATCTTTTGGAAACGGAAAATTGTGAAAATTAATCAGATCAAATTGAGAAGAAAAGTCAAGTACCATTTTGCAAACATCACAATATTAAATTATTAACATCTAAAGGCTCTTTTAATTGATAACTTGAAAATTTGCGTACTTATATGCAAAATGGTAAAGGATTTTTCTTGTTCAAAATGACCTAATCTACAATTATATGACGGCTATTGTGCCTAGCGACTAGGTTCGAGATTCAAGGTTCAAATTTCAATATACTTATATCTATCGCTAGACACAATAGCCGTTATATTATTGCAGATCAGGTCATTCTACACAAAAAAGTCCTATATCATTTTGCAAAATGTACGCAAATTTTCATATTATCAATTAAAAAAGCCTCTAATGATTTTCAATCATTAATAACTTGATAACTATTACCATTTTTGCAAAATGGTACTTGACTTTTCTTCTCAGTTTGATCTGATTAATCTTCACAATTTTTCGTTTCCAAAAGATCCCGGACATCCTGTATATGGGTTCGGTGCAGGCGTCCCGAATCTATCGCATTGCGTAACGATACGGAAACACGATTCGTATTCATCGGCGCGGCCGCGAGACGGTACCTCTCGGGGCCTGCGTTGCATCCGGCGGGATCCACCGTTTCCTCGTACGTGAACGGTCGGTCGACCATGCCGATCTCGTCGCCGTTGTAAATCACGCTGACGCCAGGCAAGACGGTCGCCAACATGGACAGCTGGTCGGCTCGCTTGACTCCGAATCGCGAGGCAGCGCGATGGTTGTCGTGATTGCCCACCACCCAATTCGCGACGTAGGCGGAATTGTCAGGCAGATGGTTGATCCAGCGATCGATCAGCAGCTTAAAGTCAGCCGCGTTGGACTTGTTGTTGAGGTCGCTGATCAGCATGAAGTTGAAGGGCACGTTCGAGCCCGACTTGTAGAATAGTATGGTGAGATTGAAGGTCGTGTAGGCCTCGGTCAAGATCATCTTCGTGTCGGCGGCCTTGGAGTGGTCGTCCAGCAGTTGTCGCCACGACTTAAGAACGTCGTAGGTCTCGAGTAGATTCTTCGTGTAGATGTGATCCAGGGTGTCGTAGTCGTCGTCCGGCAGACCGGACACGTTTCTTCGGGGCTCGTCCAGTAAACGGGCGTCCTCGTAGATGTGATTGATAGCGTCGATACGGAAGCCCTCCACTCCGTGATTCATCCAGAATTTCAGCACGTTCTTCATCTCTTGCTGCAGTGCGGCGTTGCGATAGTTGAGATCCGGCTGCCCGACGGCGAATTGGTGCAGGTAATATTGTTTACGCGTCGGATTCCACTCCCAGGCGGAACCCTGGAATACACTCAGCCAGTTGTTGGGCGGCCTCCTGCTGCCGTTTACTATTTTCCCGTCGGACCACACGTAGTACTCGTCATACGGTTTGATCCTTTGGACGCTCTTCTTGAACCACTCGTGCTCATGCGAGCTATGATTCGGCACGAAGTCGAGGATCACTTTGAGCCCGAGGGACTTGGCCTTTGCCACGAGCCGGTCGAAGTCGGCCAAGGTGCCGTAATCCTTGTCGACGTCGGTGAAATTGGCGACGTCGTAGCCAAAGTCCAGCTGCGGACTCGTATAGATCGGTGACAACCATAACGCGTGAGCGCCGATGTCTGCAATGTGCTCGAGCTTGCTCGTGATACCGTTTAAATCGCCTATACCGTCGCCGTTGCTATCCTTGAAACTCCTCGGGTAGATCTGATATACCAGACTGTTCTTGTACCAATCTTTGTTGGCCTTCTGAACCGCCGCTGAGGCGGACAGAGCAACCAGCGCTACGAGTGACATACACAAGCGGAACATCATGATCTGTATCTTCGATCGCCCATGGCGACGTGTTTTTATACCTCGCTACGAGTATCCTTGTAAAAAATTGATGACAAGTGCATTATTAGAATACTAGCATTTTTTGCTGATAAATCCGACCTTATCTCTGTCTATCTTCGGGAGATATCAATTGATTGATATTTACGTGATATTTTGTGATAAGCGATATTTTTGTTTCCAATATAAACTGATATCAAATAGTACTATACGAAGCGTAAATATCTGAGATTTCGCGTCACTATTATAAAAAGAATGGATTACAGAGAATCTAGAAATAAGAAACGACCGCACTAGCTTTCTGTCTTACTTCCAGCTCTTCCGCAAGTTCTTATTGTGTTTGTGCCATATTTTCATGCAGCAGATTTTGCAACTTCTCATCTTCAAATTTTGTTGGCTGACCGGAGCGTGGTTGGTTGTGAAGAAATTACCAAAATCATCACCATTTGTGCAAAAATCATCACTTCAAAAACGTTCAAACCAATTTTGGTACGTGCGATTGGTCACTGCATTTTCACCATAAGCAGCATAAATAATTTTGACTGCTTCAGAAGCGTTTTTGTTTAAATGAAATGCGAAATGCATTTCGAATATGCTCTTTATTGACAGCCATTGTGAACACTTCTGATTATTTGAGGTTACGTGCATCAAATGCCAAACCATATGTCATTTCGAAAAGTTAAATGTCAACACTTTAAAACCGCAAAAGAGCGGGAGAACATTTCAATTTCAAATTTTGCTCCGAGTTATGTAAATTTCATCGGAAAGAATTAATTACTTTCAACCTTATCCAGGGCCTTATGCTTCATCAGGATGGCCCTAGCAATTTTTTGCTCGGGAATGTCATCGTATTGTTCTAATCAAAAAATGACAAAAACGCATTTCATGTATAGCTGTGTACAATAGAATCGAGTAAGTCCCTTGCTTCAATTAAAATAAATAATTGTTCGTATCTCCGACGACACGAATCTCTTGACTTGTGCTTATCAGGAATTTTCTCCTCCACTTTGCGAGTATTGTCTACCCTTAAGATCCTGAAGCTTTTCTTCAAACACCCTGTATATACAGAGTATACGATACGTAGACGTGCAGCGCGATAAGCCAACGCAACATTTGTTCAAGTAATCGTTACTCGAACTTGGCCGCGCGCAATCGATACTGCTCCATAAAACATCTCACGTGTGCCGGCGCCGCGCGTTTCATGTATCGTTCATAAGACAATTTCGCATTTCAAATTTTAGAATAATACCACGCCGCAGATTTCGCCCGCGCTCCATGGAGGCGCCCACGGCGGAACGCTCGCATGCGCCTTGCCCGGTGCATCGACGTGCACAGGAATCGATTTCGCCGCTTTAGAAATTCGCGGAATCTCACGGCGCGCGCGTTATTATAACTCGTTCTCAGACAGGAAGAGATTTGCAGTTTCCTGCGAAAAGCACCGACCTCGTAACCACGCGCCGCGCTGTATAACGCCGGCCTCTAGTCAGCGATAAGATTTTTCGAGCCCCTCTCCCCGGCACGCTCGGTCGCGTTTGAAAAATGGCGAACATCCAGACCCGCACCATCTCGCGTGTGCGAGGCGTTTATGCGTGCTGGCCTCATAACTGCTATCGCGCGCGGCTCTACGCCTAATTATACAGGTGGCTCGCCGCCAGCCGCGCGACTTTCTTACGCGCGGCGCCGCCGCCCGACGACGAGGCGAGGATCAATTTAATCTCCGCACGACCGTCGAGCTTCCTATCGAGAATAAATTCGCCATTATATCGCAAACTATATTGCGGACATTGTTGCACAATTTTTTTTTCTCTTCTCCATCCCGCAGGCCATTTTTCATCCCACCCCCGCCCTCGTCGCGCGCGCGCGAAATATTCGAGAGCGGTATGATAATTTCGCTGCTGCCTCTCTGAAATATTCAATGGCGATACCCGAGCGAGTAAACTTCGTTTCATAATATAATAAAGCACCGTCATTCAACATCCTCCGCCATGAGAAAGTTGCATTGTACAGGACACGGTGATAATCTCGGCACGATCGAAAAAAGAATAATAATTCCTCGCGAGAAAGGAAGCGGCGAGATCGCGGAGTGATGTATTTTCGTTCGTTGAATGAGAATAATGTTGCTATCTCTCTATAACGGTCGCACGGTATAAAGGTCCTTCTTATTCTTATTCGACGCTTGAAAAGGCGCCGACTGAATGGAGCGGGCAACGCACGACGTGCAAACTTGTGCAAACGCGTACGCGCGTCAATGGAAAATTTACATGCTTCACACGCGGATGCCGCATTACACGCGAACTAACACGCACACAGACTCAAATAATTGCATACTTTGAGCTTGCGCGATATATAAACTGTTTCAGAAACAGCTTGCCAAACCTTAAAAGCTCTGAGGTTAGGTTAGGTTAGGAGGATGAACAAAGATCATATTGGGTTGGTATTAGGAAAGTAATTTCGGTTTTTTAAATAAAATTTTTTTAAATGAAGTCTTTTGAAATGAAAATAAAAGATGATATTTTTAATAGAAAGAAAAGTTTTATTCTATTAAGTATTGGCCATTTTGCTCGAACACCTTTTGCCATCTTTGAGGTAATAACATGATCCCTCGTAAAACCTTTGGTCCTCATTGACAAAAGACTGAATTAAGTTGTTTTTGATATCTTCATTTGAATCGAAATTTTTACCATCCAAAGAATTTTAGTGACCGAAACAAGTGATAATCGGATGATGCCAAATCAGATGAATATGGTGAATGCGGTAGCAAATCCCATCCAAGCGCTAACAGCGAGTCATTAAACTTGTGTGAGGTCTGGTGTTGTCATGATGAAACACAACATATACCTTTTCTGTTTGCCAATTCTGGTCTCTTCTGCTTGATGGAATTATTCAATTTCTCCAATTGATAACAATGCACGTTCGAATCAATCGTTTGGTTTGGTAACAGTTCAAAAAAACTATTTCTTTCTAATCCCATCAAACAAAGAGCATCACCTTTTGATAAATATCAGCTTTCGATGTGCTTTGAGCTGGTTCATCACGTCTGCTCCATGATTTTTTGCGTTTAATATTGTTGTACACAATCCATTTTTCATCAGTTATGAGTCCCTTCAGAAATGGATCGTTTTCCTCACGTTTCAACAGCAAATCGCGACGAATCAAATCTCTTTCTTTGAGAACGTGTGAAATCCAAATATCGAACTTTGAAATGAAATCAAGTTGTTCTAAATGCTCATGCACAGCCGAATTCGATAAATTTAATCTCTCGACAATTTTTCGTGTTGTTAAATGACGATTTGTGTCCACCAATGTCTTTATTTGGTCTTCATCAGCCTCAACTGGCCTTCCAGAACGTGATGTATCTTTGAAGTCGAAATTCCCAGAACGAAATTTCGAAAATCAATTTTGACGTTCAGTTACACAACACATCCTCTCCATACACGGAACACACTTTTTTTCTTGTTTGCGCTGCCTTTTTGCCTTTACGGTAATAAAATAGCAAAATATGACGAAAAATGCTCACACTGGTTTTCTATTTTTGATGCGACAAAACCAACTTGACAGATTCCAAAACAATTTTTTATAATGAAGCTTGAAATATGCGTTGTAAGAATGTAAAATAATTTTCTGGTTTAGAATGAAGTTAACTGCTCAAAAAAGCAACTAACATCATCTATTTGAGAAGACCGAAATTACTTTCCGAACAACCCAATATAAACATGTGTTCAGAAACGCTTCTCTTTCAAGTTGCAGACAAGTTTTTATGATAAATATGTAGAATACTGGTATCAGCTTCGATTTCTCTGATCTTCTTATATGTTATCAAAGACATGTTCTAGAATAAAGTCCTACAAGTTTTAGATGGCGGTCACCTTTTATAGAAGAGTTACGAACAAAAAAAGTTTGAGGAAATAAACATACTTATGAACAGCAAGTGGAGTATATTTCTTAAATATTTCGCTTTGTTCATAACTTTTTTTTATAAAAGGTGACCGCCACTTAAAATTTGCAGGAGGTTACTTTGAAACACAGTACATATGAGCGGGGGAGGAGCAGAGCCACATCCCCTCCCCAAAAGAATCCTAACCTAACCTAACTTATTATATCTTTATTTATTGTTAAGTATTGTTGAAAAGATCCCCTTAAAACCTACAACACCTATCTACATGCATATGATAACACCTAGCTACAAGATATAATAAGTTAGGCTAGTTAACAAATCTTAAGAGAACTTTTTCAGGTTAGGTTAGGATTTTTTTAACGAGGTGGTGAGAGGAAGAGACGGAGTTCCTTCCCCGCTTATATATACTGTTTAACATTTTTTAACGTACATTATGTTAGAAAAATAGGTTCTATCTGTAAAACTTTCCTTTTCAATAACCTTTTAATAAGCAATAAGCAATGGTTAACATATTTATCTGTCTAAGATTACATTTATTAATGGTGTTAAAAACTCACAATACTACGGACTTGTCGCACACAGGTATGCTTATTCCCTCAAACTTTTTTGTTCGTAACTCTTTTATGAAAGATGACCGCCATTTCTAAAACTTGCAGGAGGTTACTCTGGAGCATGTGATCCTTGATAACATAAGTGGAAATCAAAGAAATCAGAACTGATACCAGTATTCTACATAATTACCGTTTTAAGCACATTTCTCCAGCACATTTCAGTCGCACTACTCGAGAATCTTTGAATAATAACAGGATGGATTGGTAGAAGAGAAGCCATTGCTTGTCCTGCACGATCTTCCGATTTGAACTCCTTGGATTTTTATTTATGGGGACATCTTAAGACTCTCGTTTATGAGACTCCTGTTGCTGGAAGCGCTCCAAAATCGTATTATCGCTTTCTATGATAAGGTACGAAATACTCCGGGGATTTTTTAACGTCTCCGACGATCCATGAGACATCGATGCGAGACGTGCATTGATGCGGAAAAAAATTGTCTCTAACAATTTCTTTCACGAAATGTTCTCACCAAGGTCTGTTGTGAATAAAAAAGTATTT